TCAACAATGCCAAGGTAAATGACAACCTTCAATCAGAGAAGCAGCCATTTTGACTGCTCTACCTGCAAATCACACGCAGCATACAGTATATCAAGAGCAATGTACAGTGTACCGCGTGTGGTTTGCGCCAGGAGAACTCGGCGCTGGGCAGCAGCACTCATTTCATCACCATCTCCATTAGAATCTTCGAATTCAAGTCCTCAAGAGTATGATCATGCTGACCACGGCACAACAGGCATGGGGATTGTGGACGAGGTGTTAAGACGTTTGTCCGCATTATCTAAGAATACTGTCAACACTGACGTGTTAGAAAGTTTATGTTTGTTAACCAGCGTGAGCTGTGCAGTTTGGAACTGAGAGTTGAGCAGTGAAGAGCTCACAATAAAAACGTTATGGACCCGCAGACGGACTTGTGTTATCAGTTCCAGAAGTATCGGTTAGAACAACCAAATACGACGGCGGATACCAGCTTATGGCGTCTACATTTCCCAGCTGCTTAGGTACTATAGAGCATGTATAATTTTCTTGAATTTTGCTTACATCTAAGCTTTTCAATTAAGATAAAAACGTGAATGGTCTGGTGAAGCCATTCCAGATACGGTAGACATTCAAAGAATTTACTAAATCTGACACGTCATATATATACACGATGCGCCATCCCCTACTATGACATTTGCATGACGTTTTCAAAATTCCTTACTCGCTGGTACTTCCTTTAATGGATTGGGTGATACGATTTGGAGACCAGCCTGACGTCACTGGTTTGTCTGGTCCGGACCTGGTTATTGGCCACTGCAGCTGACTAAGGCGCGAAACAGCAAACAAAAAAAAACCTTGCTCGCTTCAATCGAATACATGTCGACCGCCTCTGTGGTCTGGGGTAGAGCGTCCGCCTGGAGAGCGGAAGGTCCGGGGTGCGATCCCCGGCCGCGTCATACCAAAAGACGTTAAAAGATGGTACTTGTTGTTACCCTGTCTGGCGCTCGGCATTAAGGGGCTAAAACTAGTCGGTCGGCTCGGAGTCAATATACTGTGTCTGAGTGAGCTAGCACTATAAATCGGCATCAGTCCGGACTAGTACAAGCAGCCACACACACACACACACACACACACACACACACACACACACGTCGCTATATAAGTGCAATAATCTTGGACGCGACGTTAAACCCAATTTCACCTCACCTCACCTTACTGCTCCAGGGATTATTTTTCCTCCAAATTATCAAATTTGGCACGTCCAGGCCGAAACCGATAAAAACTATTCACAAAGCTGTATGACAAGAGAACGGACATCAACTTTCAAATAGCCTCTTTCCCTTCAGGTCGAGCAATATTCCAGCAGCTGCAGCCTTTAGTATCATTCCGAGAATGCTTCATGGAAAGGGTCTTGTGGCTTATATTTGCTAAATTACCATCAACGATCCAAGCAAGTAATACATCAAGCACTCGAGCTGCATTATTGATCCCGGGTAAGGCTTTGGAAACATATCAGGCTGATTTGATCAACAAAGAAACATACGCGTTGCGTTGCGAAATCATGTACAACTATCTACTAAAAGTTTACACAATCTTTAGATATACCACCTCAGTACATATTATCAAGCCGAACGTCTTGAAAAAAGGTATGATTACATACTTCCTGTTTCTTTGTTCATAATACCTTTTCCAGATGGATCCAAGATTAGAAGCCTTAGTCCTGAAAAGCCCGTCTCGTCAATTCATTGTGGCATTACAATAATGGTGTACACTCTGAGCCCTACATAAAGGAACTCATCAGCAAACTTCCGTCGTCTTGCCTGTACAATAGTGAAGGCTCCGTGGTAGGATACGCCCTTGCCTACCATTACGGGTATCTAGGTTTCTACCATGTTCTCAGGGAACGCGAAAGAAATGGGTTCTCCCAAGTGATAGGGTCCCACTTCCTCAGTTTGTGTCTACAACAAGCGGTGATGCATATTCACATCAATGAAACTAATGCTTCAACTATGAGGTTGGCTGAACTTACTGGCTTTGATGTTGATCAAAATATTTATTTTGTAAAGGCCCTCGATTCTAAAAAAAGGTAAATATATACACATCTGGGTGTATGCTTCCTTTACTTCAAATTCTATATGGGAAAGAGGTTCAATATTATCCAATCATAACTGCTTCTTCACTGCACGTTCTACGAAAGCAACGAGCCAGACCTCCCGGGCCATTAAGACGCCTCTTACGACAAATTCTAAAACGTAATACTCCACGGGTGTTCTCCAGTAACATACATGTATGTCCATCATACAAGGTCGACTCGAAACAAACAAAACACAGACTTAACGCGATTTTACGCCCGCTTCTGAACTACAGAAAATATGGGGTCCATTAAGACTTCAACCATAGAGCTGATGCAGATTATAAACATGCTCTAAATGTGTGGGATAAATTAGGCTGTAAGAATTTAGGCGCTTATCATAATCTTTACTTAAATATGTCAGCGAGTAAAAGTACATCAGGTTTTGAGATATTTAGAAGTCAATATGGTTTGGATCCGGCATGGTACTATCGCAGTCCCGAATTCTCGTGGGATGCATTGTTGAAGAAGACTAATGTAGAACTAAACTTTATTGAGAAAGGGTTAAGAGGCTGTATATCAATGGCAGCAAAAATATTCTAAGGGCAATAATAAATAAGTAGAAGGACAGGGCGTTGTGAGAGGGCGATCTGCAGCTTACTTCAACTGTGTTCCACAGGGTTGAGGTCTGGTGACCGGGCTGCCCATTCCATGCAGACAAGTAGGCATCAGCGACCCGGCCTGATTGCACCAATATTTGGTCTCACGTACACATCCAGAATGTCATCACTGTAGCGCACCCCTTATCTTGTGCCCGCTGTAAGACAAGGAGCTTTTTTCAGCTCTACTGATCCCACCCCATACCGGTCATGTTCAGCTCTTGAAACTTTGTGTGATGCGAATGCGTGCCCTCCCTGACAAGAGACCAACCTTACGGAGACGATTACGCACTGCCTCAGTAGAAACGTTAACGCCACTGGCCTCCCGCAGGTAATTTCTGAGTGTGGTGGCAGTCACAAAGTGATGAAAAACAGTCTTCTTGCATGTATCTTCGTAGCTTATCCAAGCGTGTGGTATCGATTCCATGCCTTGCTGATCACACTTTGGTTGACACCAAAGACATTTGCAACATAGCGTTGTGTTGAACCAGTTTTAAACATGCCTATGCATCTGCATATTTTCTGGGTCGTCAAACCGACGTCTTTGACGTGCACCCAGTGGATTCAGTTTTTGCAATCCTCTATTGCAAATGTGTTCCCTGATCATGAAGTGCAACGATTCTGTCACGATACATCCAAACACAGGATCTTCAAGCACCACGTGCACATCATTCCCATGACTGCACGTCTCTGTCCGTTCATCATGAAATTGAATTCCTATAGGGGTTACCCAATCATTGAGTAGTGGGGTATTCAAATCTTTATTTGCAGGATGTTTTTTATGTCAACAAAATTTGATCCTTAGCAAACTTTGAGTAGTATATGTATCTATGGAGGGTGCCCATGTGCGCGTTTGTCATGGCAGAGTGGAGGTCATCATACCAGGTGTTTTGAAATGTGAGCAGTCAGACTGAACTTTCGACACGTCTTATTTGATCAAATTTCTAACATTTGATCATGCATTAAATTTACACCGGTCACTTCATAAATGATGCACTGCAATACTTTCAATTTAAATACGACATACCACCATTTATTTGGTTTGTTTTAAGTACTTTTGAAACATTTTTGAAAGCTTTACTGAGGCCCTGAATGTTGTAACCTTGATCAAACAACTTCTGGGAAAGAGTCGTGTGGCGCTCTTTGAAATCGTGGTAGAAAGAGCATGCCCGATTGTATCTCAAAAGTTGTGAAATGTAAAACTAAAGGCTGGAGCTGAGAATATTTCTTTACATGAAGGGAAAGTTAACTACTGGAAATTTGACGTCATTGCTCTTGTCATCCAGTCTTTGTATCACTCTGAATCTTTATGCATAGATCTACATATGAAACAGTTGAGGATGTCTCATTGGTTTCCTTTTTGCTAGTACAGGTGGGAAAATCAGTTGAAAGGAATTGCTATTTGATTGTTATTTGAACGATATCAGATCATCGATATACCTGAAGCGTAAGTTAAACTTCTTGGCCAAACTACCTTCTTTTGACTTTGTCAATCCAGCAGAAATCCCGATTCATATGCATAAAGAAACAGATCCGCAAGAAGGGGATCACAATTGGTGCCATTTGTAATGCCTTCTTCTTGCCTAAATGTTTTGCCCCCAATTTTACGTAGATGTTATCAATAAGGAATATAATTTCACATATTGTTTTCCCGGTAAACTTCAGATGGCACATGAAATGTATCATGTCTTGGGTTGTGCTAATCGTCATAGGTGGGCTACTTCTGTCAAAAATATTTTTTGTCAAGTTTCAGTTTTGATTTTGCTTGGATCTTCCAGGAAGTGGGCAGTGTTCAAATATTTCTGATAGATTTTAAAGAAAGAGTTAGAGTTTGAGTTATGTAGTTACGTAGTCTACAATCTAGTAGTAGATTGCACTCAGCATTTAGATTTATGAACCTGAGTTGTACATTATAGATCCTTCATTTGCTGTATATCGTCGCTAATTGACAAAATTCCGTACAGGTATGTCCAAGTTAGCTGTGGAACAAGCAAGATATGCCTGATAAAATGTGATTTACATTTGCTAGAGAATGAGTGTCATGTTGTTATGTTGTTCAGTTTGTAAAAGTCTTAGACAACAATATCTCCATGGGGAAAATATATCGCACAATGTTCTTTAAAATGAAAGTCGTTTGTCGAAAAAGTTACAATTATTTGTCTATAAAGCCCTAATTGTAAGGCAACAACACCTGTCTAAACAGGAAATTTGAGAATACAATGGCTAAAAATGTCTGTTGTCCTCCGTAAAAGCAATCAGTATTTAAGGAGTATTCATATTTTAAACACGGCTTCAAATACCACTGGAGTATTTTTTTATTGCTACAAGTTTCAGTGATAGATTCAAAACAGGCGTGGGGCGGACAGAGTATATCGCAAATTGTTCTTTACAGTCGTTTGTCGAAACGTTACAATTATTTGTCCGTAAAGCCCTAAATTTAAGGCAACAACAGCTGTCGAAACACGATGTTTGAACCAGGGGGTCCAATTGTCTAAAGCGCAGCAATTCGCTGTGCAGACTTGCGACCCTTGCCAGAAACCTATGATCGTTGGTATGAATTCCGGTTCACCCTGATTATGTTTCTAGGTTTGCTCATGAGTAGATACAGTGCCAAAAGTGAACCCCGGCTATTTTTCTAGCTAATGATACTAGAGATCCCTACCAGCAAGGATTGTAGGAATTGTGAAGAAAACGTTTAACAATACAATGATAAAAAAGGGACTGGACACTCTTATAAACATAAAAAAATACTAATATATATATAAACTCTCGGTTGAGATTTCTGACATTCACATCAGTGTTGAACTTGGTATCGAAAATAACCTCCTTGTTGAATATTCCCATATACTTATAATGAGATACAATGTCCACAGCCTCCTTGTGAATAGTTCCAGGTGTCATACCGTTCTTCCTGTTTCTAAAGTCAATCGTCATTTCCTCAGCTATTCACATTCAATAGAATATAATTATCCTCACTCCATTTTAGAAGTGGCTGATTTCATCGGAATTTTGTTCATTCTCTTCTTATATGAGGCCAGTTTGACCATAAGACAAACAATGTGATGGCCAGGCTTACACGATGGTAAGTGTAGAGCTTGAAGAGTACGGTCGAGATGACACAATCTTGTGGAGGACCTGTGTCCACTTGGACAAACTGAGGGCACTTTATCAGAGAACTTTCGATGTAGTTCACTCTTGAGATGCATGTGCTTTTGATCGAAATGATCCAGATGGTATTCTAAGAAGCTAAAAATTGTAAAAATAAATATTTTTTCCGATATACCAATTAGTGATTTGTACAATAGTTGATGGCATTCAAGTATACATATACGCTTTCTGAAAGACATCAAAGGGTCTGGAAAACGTTGTGGGTCTTTCCTGTTTTACGTGTCAGAACGGACTTGGGTTTTCAGCATTATTGGCTTCTTGGTGTTGAATATGCCCGTATTTATAGAGATGTCGTCACTTCCGATTGATGCCTGAAACAACCCCCAAAAGACTTAATATCTACCAGTACTAATTATATCAGGAAGAAGTACAGATATTAACGGAAAAAAGTAACCGTGCTTCATATTAAAGTTCAATAAATTATTTATTCTGAAATTAAATAATGCATGAAATTAAATAATGGATGTATGCGTGTTTGTTGGGAGTTTGATACTCACGTACGTGTTTGAAATTCACGTACGCGTTTGAACGTGAACAGCAAGGGAAGCACTTTTGTTTAACCGTAAATATCTCTTACACAACGCCACGTCGCGCCGTGATTATGCTACAAACAAGGATCGTGTAAAATTAAGTTGCCAGACGTTTTAATGTTCGCCGAAATGCGATATTATGTGTTCGGAGACGTTATCTACAGCTGGGCAGCTCTCATGACTGGGTTGAGACCAAAAAGTGCCAGTGACGGCACATTGGAAGAATGGTATCTATCCTATTTATTTTGTGAGCTTACCAGGGTGTCCTCCGCAGGCACAAACTGAATCTTCTTGAGAATCTGAGACAGAGCAATCTTCATCTCCATCTGCGCAAGCCTCATTCCCACACACTGACGGGGGCCATGGCCGAAGGGGAGATAACTCATGGGATCCATTTCAGACTTTCGCTCCCATCTAAATTGAACAATAGTGCATCGTCAGCTGAACCCCTGAAACGTCTGGCGAACGTAAGTTTTGATTTATACAAGTCATCTACAGATGACACACATTCCTCGATTTACCCACATTTATTCAGAGGGCAACACGAAATTAAGTCAACAACACCGACACTGAATGGCAAAACTATGAACCCATTTTAATAAAATGAAAAATCTTGTTATTTAAGTCGGGCACGGGTGGCCCAGTCGTCTAAGGCGCCGCGTTTCGCTGTGCAGAGTTGCGTCCCTTGGGCACGCCAGAAACCTATGATTATGGGTTCGAAACCCATAGTTGGCCCCGATTATGTTTCTAGGTTTGTCAGCACCATACCCATGCTCGTGTGTTTCACCGAAGTGGTAAACGTCTATGACTTGCATCACTTCAGGCTTCCCTCCCGCATTAAGCTGATACGACGTGGAATACTGTAGCGTTAAATAGCGTTAAACCCAACTCACTCACTCACTCACTGTTTTTTAAGTACTGATCTCCAAGAATGGATTAATGACATTCCCACTGTCCCTATCAACCGTCTAGCAAACGGCACCAGCTTTGCACCTGATTTCATGAAGAAATGGTTAACGCAATTTAAGTTCTGCTTTGGAAGCTGAGTTGCTTTCAAGTTTGTTTCAATCAAATGTGAAGGGCACCAGTTCCATCCCTGATTGGTATATGTGCACAGATTCATGAAGGGATAGTGAACAGTTTTTAAGTTCTGCTCCGAAAAAGAACCAAATGGACAGACAGATGGGCATGCAGAGAGCAGTATTATGTAACTATGTAACTTAATGGAAATTCAAACGCTTGTTTCTCTTGTAAGTTGTTTTGTTTCTTTGAAAATAAATAATAAACCATTGTATCCATTTGCTACCATCTCAAGCAAATAACATTAAATTGCAGCATAAACTGACATGAACCCTAACACAGGATTGCATTTTGGCATGTCAATTTTTGAAACACGGCTTGAAGAACACCACTGACAGGACTTGCACCTACCTGTCAGGCTAAAATCTGTAGGGGTCAGGTATATATCAGCATCCCTGTGTGTCAGCACCGAAGCGAGGGTGATGATACCTACCTGTCAGGCTTAAAGCTGTGGGGGTCGGGGTATATATCAGCATCCCTGTGTGTCAGCACCGAAGCGAGGGTGATTGTACATACCTGTCAGGCTTAAAGCTGTGGGGGTCGGGGTATATATCAGCATCCCTGTGTGTCAGCACCGAAGCGAGGGTGATGATACCTACCTGTCAGGCTTAAAGCTGTAGGGGTCAGGGTATATATCAGCATCCCTGTGTGTCAGCACCGAAGCGAGGGTGATTGTACATACCTGTCAGGCTTAAAGCTGTGGGGGTCGGGGTATATATCAGCATCCCTGTGTGTCAGCACCGAAGCGAGGGTGACTGTACATACCTGTAAGGCTTAAAGCTGTGGGGGTCGGGGTATATATCAGCATCCCTGTGTGTCAGCACCGAAGCGAGGGTGATTGTACATACCTGTCAGGCTTAAAGCTGTGGGGGTCGGGGTATATATCAGCATCCCTGTGTGTCACCACCGAAGCTAGGGTGATTGTACCTACCTGTCAGGCTTAAAGCTGTGGGGGTCGGGGTATATATCAGCATCCCTGTGTGTCAGCACCGAAGCGAGGGTGACTGTACATACCTGTAAGGCTTAAAGCTGTGGGGGTCGGGGTATATATCAGCATCCCTGTGTGTCAGCACCGAAGCGAGGGTGATTGTACATACCTGTCAGGCTTAAAGCTGTGGGGGTCGGGGTATATATCAGCATCCCTGTGTGTCACCACCGAAGCTAGGGTGATGATATCTACCTGTCAGGCTTAAAGCTGTAGGGGTCGGGGTATATATCAGCATCCCTGTGTGTCAGCACCAAAGCGAGGGTGATTGTACATACCTGTCAGGCTTAAAGCTGTGGGGGTCGGGGTATATATCAGCATCCCTGTGTGTCAGCACCAAAGCGAGGGTGATTGTACCTACCTGTCAGGCTTAAAGCTGTGGGGGTCGGGGTATATATCAGCATCCCTGTGTATCACCACCGAAGCGAGGGTGATTGTACCTACCTGTCAGGCTTAAAGCTGTAGGGGTCGGGGTATATATCAGCATCCTTGTGTGTCACCACAGTAGCGAGGGTGATGGTACCTACCTGTCAGGCTTAAAGCTTTGCGGGTCGGGATATATATCAGGATCCCGGTGTATCTTAACAGCAGGGATGTTGACACCACAGCCTTTGGGGAATGTGTAGCCCTTGATGGTGACAGTTTCCGCCACCACACGGGTAGCTCTGTAACGGTAGAGTTTAGCATTGACACAAATTTACACATTTCACATATTCACAGACCAATTCTCGACAGTCAGGGTTATTATCGACTCAACACCTGTATAATTTTGCCTATAGGTGAGATGAGGTGAGATGAGGTGAGGTGAGGTGAGGTGAGGTGAGGTGAGATGAAACGTCGCGTTCAAGATTATTGTACTTATATAGCTACGTGCATGCACGTATGTGTGTGTTCGCGTGTGTGTTGCTTCTTGTACAAGTCGGAACTTATGTTGATTTTATAGTGCTAGCCCACTGAGACACTAAGACGCAGTTTTACATGAATACCCCACTCAGAAACAGTATACTGACTCCGAGCCGACCAGTCCTTGTTTTAGCCCCTTAAGCTACGCAGGGTAAAAACGAGTACCATCTTTTAACGGGTTTTTTGCATGACGCGGCTGGGGATCGAACCACGAGCCTTCCGCTCTTCGGGCATTACCACTACTAGACCACGGAGACGACCTTTTGCCTACGGGGGGGGGGGGGGGGGGGGGGCAAAGCATTCAACGTTACCATTTAGTATGGAGTGAATGTAGGATAGAGTTCATTTTAAACTTTGTTCCATACAACTAACTAGGATTGTTTGTTAAATGGTATAGATTAGGTTTGAATTATGCTAGGGATCATGAGTGCTTCAATACCAGAGATAAAAAGACTTTTGATGGACTCGGAAAAGAATCGATTTGAATGAAAAATAATATCTATTCTACTTTTAACTCAAACATTATATACCTAAACGATGGATACAATCGTTAAACATTATTGCACAAAACAATGAGGGTGAACATGTAATTCATTGCAGTCTTGAAAACGATATTCTTCTGCAGATTGTAAATTCATATATGAGGTGAGGTGAAATGGGGTTTAACGTCGCGTCCAAGATTATTGCACTTGTATAGCGACGTGTATGTGCGTGTGTGTGTGTGTGGCTTCTTGTACTAGTCCGGACTGATGCTGATTTATAGTGCTAGCCAACTGAGATACCATGCCGCAGTTTAACATGAATACCTCACTCAGACACAGTATACTGACTCTGAGCCGACCACTCCTTGTTTCAGCCGCTTAATGCCGAGCGCCAGACAGAGTAACAACAAGTACCATCTTTTAACGTCTTTTGGTATGGCCCGGCCGGGATTCCGACCTCGGAGGCGGTCCGTAAATTCATATATGAACGTGTATGGGACACTCTGGGTAAACCTTTTGATAACCTTACAAAATGGGAAAATAAACTATGTATACTAGTACCGGGCGACTATATAAACTAATGTTTTGCATTGCTAAATGATACTACGATTGAAAATAAAACAAGAGACTTTCAATATATATATTAATCCATCGAATATTAGCAACAAACTCCTTTCTTTACAAGATAGGAAAAAAATAATGATGATCTTGGAATTTTTTGCAACAGGGAGAGTGAGACTCTTGAACACCTGTTCTTTTTATGTGTTAAATCCAAAGAATTTATCTCGCGGTTAGCAAATTGGTTTAAAAAGAAAACATCCATTAGAGTTTTGCCCCTTTTATACCCCAAAGATTATATTTTGGTAAAGCAGCTCTTTCTTATTATAAAACAATACATATATAATTCCAGATATGACTATACTGACATGCATATGACGTATCTTACACATACACTAAGGTACTGTTTTAGTCTTGAAAAATACAATTTTGGAGAAAACAGAACGACATTCAATAATACATGAATGTCTTAAATTCCACTAATGAAGAATTCATCACCACCCCCAAGCCCCCGTCTGTCTCCTCCCAACCTAACCACTTTCCAGTGTGCACTCAACTCTCCTCTTCTCCATTTCATGGCTATTTCTGCTGTTTATTTATTTAATCTTCCAAAACGGGGTAATCCGTCTCTGTATTACAATATCTCAAGAATGAAAAGATATAGAAAAAAGGAAGAAAAAAGAACTCAGATGTCAACTGTCCCATAATCTTAGATTACAATGTACAGTGTAAGGAAGCACACATTTGATTTGCATGTCGTTTGATTTCTACTTATTTACTGAGCACCATCAAACAATCTATTCATTGTTACTATTACCTAAATGTTCAAACATTTGTGTTATTTTCTACAAAACAAACAATTCATTTTTCCAACACTACCAACTCCGTAACAAAATAAAATGTTTATATCATAACAAAAAACAAAGTGTTTTTAACATGGAGACTGGGTGTCCATCAGTATTTGTGTAGAGACATGGCTATATTAACCCTGACCCTACCCCTATGATGCCTGAAAGTTTTATCTCTCCTTGATTTGTCATAACTGAAATACGGGCGGCCAGGTAGCCTAGTGGTTAAAGCGTTCGCTCGTCACGCCGAAGACCCGGGTTCGATTCCCGATATGGGTACAATGTGTGGAGCCCATTTCTGGTGTCCCCCGCCGTGATGGAATATTGCTAAAAGCGGCGTAAACCCATACTCACTCACTATGATAACTGAAATTATAGGGATAAAAATGTTTGGCTTTTTTTAAGTGTGCCACAGGGATGGGTTAGCCAACATGGAGAATAGTTTTTATCCATCTTCAACAGTGCTCAAACTTGGAATATCATTTTCATCATAAGCAGTTGTGATTTTAAGCCCATCCCCACGCCTACCACCCCACACATAACAAAAAATAGAAATCAAATGGATGCTCCATAACGTCTTACCCAACCACAGCAGGATACAATCTGAGAGTCTCCATGATCACGTGGTCCATATATTTCAGTCCACAAACATTGTCATAGTCTGGAATTTTCTGAAAAGCAAATGTCTCGTATCAGGACACGTCTACAGGTTATTTATATACTTATGATGTTTACAAATTCTTGAAAGAAAGGATGGGGGAATTTGGATGAAGAATTTGGTCCCGATGTCACGAAGTATATTTTAGTCAATAAATACAATATAGGGAAATGGTCAATGATATTAAATATTTTACTCCCATACGCTACCTGTGTGAAGATATAAGGTGAGGTGAGGTGAAATGGGGTTAACGTCGCGGCCAAGATTATTGCACTTATATAGCGACGTGCATGCACGCGTGTGTGTGTGTGTGTGTGTGTGTGTGTGTGTGTGTGTGTGTGTGTGTGTGTGTGTGTGTGTGTGTGTGTGTGTGTGTGTGTGTGTGTGTGTGTGTGTGTGTGTGTGTGTGTGTGGCTTCTTGTACTAGCCCGGACTGATGCCGATTTATAGTGCTAGCCAACTGAGGTACCATGCCGCAGTTTAACATGAATACCCCACTCAGACACAGTATATTGACTCCGAGTCGACCAGTCCTTGTTTTAGACCCTTAACAGGCAGGCAGGGTAATAACAAGTACCATCTTTTAACGTCTTTTGGTATGACGCGGCCGGAAATCGAACCCCGAACCTTCCGCTCTCCGGGCGGACGCACTACCACTACACCACGGAGGCGGTCGCTCCCTGTGTAAAGATATGAAGACATCTGCATAAGAGGTGGCGCCAGGTGAACTTTCTAAATCAGCTAACCAGCATTGAGGCTTCTAAATTCTCGGTACGAGTGAGCGAAATATGCAGACAAACATATCTGATTTCCGTTTTCCAAAAAATGAATGTAATCGGGGTGTTCTGAATGCAGGAAAATAAAGCCTGGCTATTATGTTTTTGTGGATATTTTATATATCCATTTGTTTTTGAGCGTCATGCTATCTACATGCCATCAAAAGAGGGCACCAGCGAGGATATATTTGTGTTATGAAGCGGTTGTCATCGAATCGAAATTGTTTGGAAAAGAAGTCGAACCATTCGACTGGTATAAGAACCCACGCATCCTTTATTTAGATTGGGCAGTCAAAGTTCTCCTGATGCGACCTCCTTAGGTAACCATTGACAAATCTTCACGCAGAGGTATCGTATCTGATTTCAATGTGACTCGGATACGTTTGTACCAGTGGCCTAAGATGCTGTGCTGAGTTATGTCCCTTAGTTGCCAGGATCCCCTGGTACTGATATCTGATCCCAGGTATCTCAAAACGTAACCCCTTAGGAGAATCTAGCTGGATAACCTATCTATCGTTATGAAAAACATCACCTGACATGAATTTCCAGACGGGTTGTCGAATGCCTTTCGCTACTTTTATAAAAGGAGGTCGAATTCAAATTTAAGTATTTTTAGATTTCCCATCCAAACCAGCTAATTTGTGTGAGAGTGTGTGTTTGCGTGTGTGAATGTGGCTTGGCGGTCAAGAGAAACAAGTTCGTTTAAACTTTTAAAACATTACATACTTCTCCCAAAACCGTGTCGATTTCTTCTGTGAGCCGCTGTTGTACATCCGGGTTCATTGCCAGGGAATAGGCAATAAAATGGAGGGTGTTGGCCGTAGTTTCGTATCCAGCAATGAAGAATAATAAAGCCTGACCAAGTATTTCATCGTTGGTCAATTCTGGAATGGAGAAAAACAAGTGGTGAATCCTACTACTAGAAAAATCTATATCATTGGACACAAATACGAATTTTTTTCAATATGACTTCTGTGGGGGCCATTTTGAAAATCGGATTTGGATCTCTTGAACAAACTTGGGTGTCATCATTGGTGGGAAAAAGCATGTGAACTTTCAATTTCACTGGACCAGTGCTTTCTGAGAAGATGTTTAGGACTGATGCTGGTCAAACAGGCCACGACATAAGTTCACTTGACTTGCAGTCAGATAAGCTGTGAGTGAGTGTGGATTTACGCCGCTTTTAGCAATATTCCAGAAATATAACGATGGGGGACACCATAAATTGGCGTCACACATTGTACGGGAATCGAACCCGTGGCTTCGGCGTGACGAGAGAACGCTTTAATATCTAGGCTACCCCGCCTCAGGTGAGTTGGAAATGATTACGATAAAAAAAGAGCACAATAATTACAAAGGGCTATGCACTTTTGTTTAGTAGGGACACCGTCTGTTCAGCACACTTGGATGAGGTAAACTCGAAATAGTACATCAAATATACTATAAAACGCCAAAGCAGCAGAATAACCAGTCTTGATTAACTCCTGTTTGGTTACATTAAACACTGTGACATGTGCCGTGTCATAGAAGCAAGGTATTCTCCAAGAGCGTGCTGAAACCTGTTGTCTCTCTCCTGGGTTATTACGGAATAACAAATATACATTTTCTTCCCCTCCCACTTCCACTCCCCTCCCCTAACCCCAAGCTCACAACCCCACATCCAGCCCCTCCATTCTCACTTCTCCTTCTCCACTACACTTAATCCTGGATCTGCAATCTGATATGGCTGGCAGTAAAACGACCCTGAAAACAAACTTTTGCTTTTACAGCCACTCTGATTGGGGTCTTCATCACTCCCATCATCTTCTGCGTCAATTAAAAGTTGGAAGAAGTCCTGAGTTTTCACCTGAAACAGAAACAAGAAAAGGTTGGCGTTTTATGAACTAAAATACATGAATATGTGTATAAAACTGTAATTGTCATGCCAAACAATGATAATGAGAGAAAACACATCTGATGAAATGAATGAGAAATGCAAATGAAATTTTCCATCGCATGATATATATTTACATCGATGTGACATAGGTATACAACGTACGCATGTACTGATGTAATTGTACTGTTTGGTACACTTTGAACGGCATTTCAGTTATATGACGACGTATCAGCTTATTGTGAGGGGAAAGCCCCGATGCAAGTCTCAGAGGCTTACTATTTTGGTTTAACCCACAAGCACAGACAACAAAGAAACAAAACTAGGACGAACCCTAGACGACTGGGCCACCCCTATCCCCAATTTCCCACAGATTATAACTGGTAGTCATAGACAGCAGCCACAGCCCTGGCCACGAAGCGTTGTGAGCACAGCAAGCTCTTCTGGTAAATGCGTAACCTAGCACAATGCCGAATTTACCTCAACTTTTTAGTACCTACCCTTCCATCCTTTGAATCCGCCTTGCGTTGTTCAATCATTTCATTCAGTACCTTCGTGAAGAACTTTAGAGTGGTCTTTGAAAATGAGCTCACACCTAGAGCTCTGAATAAGGGTGTGAATTCGGGGAAAATCACTGCAAAATATAAATTAATCATTTATAAAATAACACAACTAGAAATTCAACATATCAACGCTTCGTAATTTGAAAGTAATGTATCATCAATGTAACTGGTATCAATTTGATTATTTCCCTTGATCATCCGACTCGTCTTTATTCAATTATTTAGTCATCAAAGTCCTGTTTATGAAACATCTGCTGCCTGTGTACATTCATTAAACAATTGATCAAACATCTGCTGCCTGTTTACTTTCACTAAACAATTGATCAAACATCTGCTGCCTGTTTACTTTCACTAAACAATTGATCAAACATCTGCAGCCTGTGTACTTTCACTAAGCACTTGATCAAACATCTGCTACCTATATATTTTCATTGAACAACTGATCAAACATCTGCTGCCTGTGTACTTTCACTGAACAATTGATCAAGTTTCTACTTCCCATGCTCCGACAGGGAACCACGGTTAGTAATGGCAACACCACTCTAGTCACTTACAAATAAGCATCATAATAGGGCTTTGGATTCCCTGCCCAAAGAACTTTCTTGCCTCCTCAACGAAAGCATTTTTGGAGTCACTTTGGGAATCCACTTCGATCCCAAAAGCTGTGCTTGCAATGACGTCCATTGCGAATGCACCAAAGTAGCTACAAGGAAGTTGAAGTAGTTTCATTATTGAGCCTCTAGTACTTTCAAAAACAATGAATACATTCATGACGTCCATACCTCATCACATCATACACGACAAGTGTAAAGTGTACTGTTTCTGCTGCGATATCCCACTTATACTGAGGCCGTTTGGACATATTCTCTCAAACTGTGCGCATTGGATGAAAGTGTGGTGTGTACTTCTCAAGTGTTTCAATCCTATTTTATGTGTGTGTATATATATATATACCTTCCATGTGATCATGAAATCGTAAAACAATGTTTTGATTGAATAATATATATTTTTTAAATACATTTTGTCATCCGATAATAATGCCTATATCCTGTTGAATCATTTTGACCACGTGTCCTAACCTACCCATAAATATTTCTTTTGATAAATAACTGGGTGAAATAAGTACAGGCGTTTTGCCTTACCGTTTGACATCAATGCTTTGGTTCGACTCTGCTGTCTTAACAAAGTTAGTTGTAAGTATACTGGCGCATTGGTTTATTCGGTCGCACATCTGAAATATAACATCAAAAGTACTGTTTGGTGAACCCAGCATTGGTATTGTTTGCAACTCTGCACATAAATCTGCGGTGCCTGAGGCGACTGTTTGACCTGTGTCCCTTGTTGCCATATATTCCTATTGACACGTACAAACATAAAATTATCTTACCGTGAAGATCCGGGGTAAAATAGATCTTCAGCAACCCATGCATGCCGAAAGGGGCGACAACGCTCGTGGTAAGAGGCGACTAACGGGATCTGGTGGTCAGGCTCGCCGACTATTTACAGACCGCCGTCATATAGCTGGAATATTGCTGAGTGCGGTGTTAAACAACAAACAAAACATACATATCTGACGTATGAGCAGGTGATGAAATCGTTAATTCAATACAAATAATGTGCGATGTTTATACTGTCAGGACTTCAACGTTCAACATATAACATCTGCTGAGCTGAAACTACTCATCTCAAATTAATAACTTTTTGAAGCTCAGCCAAATTCAGATAATATACTCTAAAAAGGGGAATTTTCAAAAACGGCTGATGATTGCAGAAATACTAATCAAGTGATCGTAATGGATGGTTACGAAAAGAGAGGACTGGGTGTAATAGGACAATCATTAGAGCATGTTGGCGCAATATTGTAATGGTGCAAAGAAACAAGAAATAGAACAGGGTTGCGTGGTCAAATAATGAACGTTGGGGACAACTTGATCAATAATGGGCCATGCCCAAACGAGTGTCAAACATTTGTTTATACGACGTGCCATGGTCCGAGTCAATCTCCTGACGACAATTTGAGAGAGTCTTGTCCACTACTCTTTGCAGCACTTGGCCCGGTTAGGCTAACCAACGTAGAGGGTGGCCTTTGACGTTGGTGCACACGTCTCCCGATCATGTCCCTGACGTGCTCCATGGGAAAAGGTCAAGACACATTGCATTCTGGTCATTGTTGCTGCTAATGGGTATTCAGTTACGATAAGTGCAAGGTGGGCACGAGCATGTATAAAAAGACAAAAGAAAGCCCAAACCAGGAACAACGCTATTCTTGAAGGCACTTTTCATTGACCATTTCATGGACAACAGGTAGTGGCATTCTGTGATCCCGCCTCATATCATTACAGCCCTAGCCCCAGCCCCAAATGTGCCATGTTGTTTTGGGTTGACGTTCTTGAGGACGCCTCCAAACACGTCCACGCCACAGACCATCGGCGATTCCCCCAGTTTCTGCGCTATATACTAAACACCTTTGGCATCTGATTAGAATGTGTCGATTTCTTAACGATGTTTCAACGCGTGGTCGCCGAGAAAACTAACGAATCAGTAATTCGAACTCCGGTGGCCTGGCGCAAGTGAACATTGTGTTTCCAAAGTTTGAAAATCACAGTCTGAGACACATTGAACATATTAGTCACCTCTAGTTGAGTTCTACTAGTTTAAAGATTGCAAATAACCCTTAGGCGTTCATCACATTGAAGCTGATCACAAATACAGCAATAAAGCAAGAGTAGAGAACTTACTAGCTACTGTGGCTAATGAAAATCAACAAATATAATGGCTCAGAGCGATCTGACAAACTTTCACTGAAGCGTGCACGGACGAATTGCATGGACCGCGCGCTATGTGTCAAGTGTGTTGGTGCGTTGGAGAGGTCTGTCCGTTTCTATTTTTTGTCTTTCAAGAACAAAACTGAATAATGATCTTACCAAGCGCAGTTTGGATCCACTAAATGTTGGGCTTACAATATGTCTCAGCCGTTTCCAATTAGCGCCTTTCTGAAGGAGAATACTTCTGTCCACTGGGTAGTTGCTCAAGTCGAAACCCTGAAACATTCTCAAATATACTGTACGTTGTCCCTGTTACATTCTCAAACATACATTCTCTCTGTAGCATTCCCGATCAGTTCGTAGAGTTCTCAAAGATACTGCATGTAACATGTCAAAAGGAAGCTTCAACATCCCGCACAACCAAGCTACAAGGTTACATCCGTTGACATTAACAAGGACATTGAGTCCCTGACAGGTTCAAATCAATAATGCGTGAGTGAGTTTGGTTTAACGCCGATTTTAACAGTATTTCAGTTATATCGCGGCGTGTCAGCTTAATGTGGGAGAAAAGCCCCAAGTGATGCAGGTCTCAGACGTTTACCACTTCGGTGAAACCCACGAGCACGGGTATGGTTCTGACAAACCTAGAAACATAATCGGGGCGAACCGGGATTCGAACCCACAATCATAGGTTTCTGGCATGCCAAAGGGACGCAACTCTGCACAGCGAATCGCGGCGCCTTAGACGGCTGGGCCACCCGTGCCCCCAAAATCACCTACTGTGAATTTTAAATATTAACGTGACAGGTAACAATTAGTTTTATAAAAAGTTTATATATAAACTTATCAAACAAGTTTGTCAGTGTAACAGAGACAATAAATTCAAAAGGAAAAAACCGAGATAAATTGAACGGCTAAATGCAAACTTATGTATGTGTTGACGTGTCACAGCAATTCAATGTGATCTAACAAGAATCTACTCAGAATCAAACGAGATACTTACCGTTCTGTCTGTGAAGTGCTGGAAATCTTTGATCAAAATCTCTCTCACAACATCGAGGTCCGTTACACTGATCATCGGAAGGCCGCCCACAAAAATCCTTAAAAGACAATATCACATCATATGGTGACTCTTTAGTCTAAAATGAGTGAGTGAGTTGGGTTTAATGCCGCTTTGAACAATATCTCTGTTCCACCAGGGCATGTCAGCTTGATGGTGGTGGTGGAGGTGGGGATTCCGATATTCATAGGCATCACCCCCACGAGCACTTATACGGAGCTGACAAGCGAATGATAATAATATAGGTTTGTTTGTTTTTTAACGCCGCACTCAGCAATATTCCAGTTATATGACGGCGGTCTGTAAATAATCGAGTCTAGACCAGACAATCCACTGATTGATATCATGAGCATCGATCCACGCAATTGGGATACGATGACATGCATCAACCAAGTCAGCGAGCCTGACCACCGATCCCGTTAGTCGCCTCTTACGACAAGCATAGTCGCCTTTTACGGCATGCATGGGTTGCTGAAGATCTATTCTACCCCGGATCTTAATATAATCTAGGTGAATTGTGAATTCGAATAAACGATCGCAGGATCATGGGTATGACAGGCCTAAAGGACACAACTCTGCAGAGCCTCCCGTGTCCTACTGACAATCACAACAGATATGAATAAATATCAGTTTGCTTGATAAATGTCATCCTACCCCGACGGCGTGTATCGTTGCTCACAATATTAATCACTTGAATGCCTGGTCCAGACTCCAATATTTACTGTCCGCCTCCATTTGGCTAGTGCGGCGTTTAACATCAAACAAACAAACAAACAATCGTCGAATTGTAAAACAGTTGGACTAAATGGCATTTTCAATGTGTTTCTCTGGTCACAAATAATTTCAATATAACCTAAGGGAGATAACTCTTAAAGATTGACATACCCGAAGACTTTACCATACTGTTTCGAAAGCTTGTGGCCGAGGATGTCCTGTAACAAGAGTATATTTGGATCTTTGATATTTATATTTCAAATGACAAAAAAAATCATTCAATGATAGTCATCCATTCGTCACCACTCGTCCCTTTCCTTAACCTGCAAGAAAACATTTTGCTTGTCACTCGTCGTCACTCGTCCCTTTCCGTAACCTGCAAGAAGACATTTGGCTTGTCATTCGTCACCACTCGCCCATTTCCGTATCCTGCAAGAAGACATTTGGCTTGTCCCTGAATGACACGAGTTGATCAGGAATGGTTGACCAGACAATCCAGTGATTGACATGATGAGCATCGCTGCAACTGGAATAAGATGACATGCATCAACCAAGTCAGAGAGCCTGACCACCCGATCCCCATAGTCGCCTCTTACGTCAAGGATGGGTTGCTGAAGACCTATTCTACCCCGTATCTTCACGGGTATGGTCAGGAATGAACAGTCATCAGACAGCAGATGTTAGATGCAAATATTTTATCAACATGAGCCATGTATGATGTTCTGTCCAGGGATTACAGATATTACATACAATATGAATACCACTCTGATATATTCAGGAGAGATTTTACTTTAAATACAATCTGTTTTTGAAGATATTACGGTGATCTACGAACATCAATGTCATAGGACGGATAATATTTACAAGCGTTCGTTTTAAACGAGGGTCGAGTAAAGATTACATTTTAAGCTCACCTGTTTTAACAACTGATGGAAATTCCCAATAAAAATCACGGGCTCCGGGCCAGGAATACCCGCATCCTTGAACAGACGATTTCTCTTTTTTCCATATCTTTAGAAGAAAAAAACAAACAGAAAAAGACACATTCAGACGACACGATTGTAAAATTCCATTTACAAAAGGACATACTACCTTTCAATATAATTTTAATCCATCGTCTATTAGACACCAACTCCTTTCTTTTTGAGATGATTTCTTTATTATTTTTATTGTGTGTTAAATCCCGAGAATTCATTGAAAATCGTTTAACACGAGCACAATTGGTTATAGACATTAGATCCTGTATTCTTGAAGACCACAAGGACAGTATTTTGGCAAACCATCTCTTTCATATTACAAATCATAAACCTCCGGTGACGTCATCCTATTGTTCTCCAGTCGGGTTAAATCTCATAAACAGGGACGTTGTAATGTCCCTGGGATTTGATATAATATCCCTGGAATTTTATAGGATATTCAAGTAACATTTGCTGTATAATGTGTTGTGATAATATCCCAGGGATTTTATATAATGTCCTGGGTATTTTATTAATATAACTTCCGTTCAGATTGTAACATGTAATGAAATGTAAAATCAAATGACAAATATTTTCTTTACATTCCCGAGGATCGAACACGCAACCTCGTATCTGTAGCCCAGTGAGTGTACCAATAAGTTAGAGAGGCGTTGATAAGTCGCACTGCTTTTTAGAATGTCCTTTTCAAGATCCGTATGCCAGGACCAGATATTTTACGCCCGTTTCCTAGTGTTCATTGAAAGTATGTTCGAAACATAAAAATATTGATAAATGTTGTTTAAAGTTTCTTTTTCGGTTTATAAGTAAGATAAAACACTTCCCCAAGGGTTGTAATGATATTTAAAACCCTTTCCCTCGGAAAATCCCCCGGGATGCGGGTTTTAAATATCATAACAACCCTCGGACGTGTTTTATCCTATACATAGGACATATGCAAATCCCGATATAATTGTACTGACTTCCAACTGACGCATGTTGTAAATACAATAAGGTACTATTTTAATTTTGAAAAATGCACTTTTGGAGAAAACAGCACTAAATTGAATAATATATGGAAATGTCTCAGTTCAAACTAATCAAGCATTCGTCACACACCCTCCCTCCTCTCCCTATATCCACGTTTCACTGTCATTCTATCTCTTCTCTTTTCTTCCTCCTGATATTTCATTTTGTACAATAACATCCGAGGTTAAACAGGGTTCCCCATTTTTGTATTACAAAGGAAAATGGTTCACTGCTTAACAAACTTAAAGAAATTATGACCTGACAGTTGAACCCGAGGATCTAAATAATTGTCGATAATAACAGCAGGGATGGGAGGGAGGGATGAGAACAGCTACACTGCATGTTTCCAGTATATGTGGCGATTTCACGAATACACGGTCTTCACATACAACCCGTGTGTCTAACAACATAGGCAAAAAGTGGCGGTCCTTGTGAGATGACCCCCATATAATTTGACACCAGGTAAACGGCCTTGACCTTTTGACATAAATTTTACCTGACATATCAACCGCTGTCATATCAGCCTCGGTCGGTGCTTGTGAGATGAATTACAGAAGGAATGCTAACCTGACAATAGTCAATAAACGTCAGTGAAGCTTTACGTAATTGTACTTATTCAGTAGTAGATCAGTGAACCATTAAGAAATTATACTTACGCATAAATCAGAAACAACACCAATATCCCCAGAATCCATGTTGGAGAAATGTCAACACAACCGAGTATCTCCATCTGATGTATCACCAGGCAAACAGTTGGTTACCATTTGGTTACGAGGAATAACCAAGAGAAGAGAAGTCATCCAATGAGGATACACTAACAGACAAATGCTTGAAGCTCGGCCGAGTGGACTTTGCGCTGCGCGCTGAAGGCAGGGCTCTTGAGTTCCTGAGTTGTGTAACTCGCCAGGTCACATGGGGAATGTCTCAAAACGTTTTAGATGTATTTAACCCCCACCCATGCAAAGTTGTGCTGGGGAATTAGAAACGAGCTCTGTCGGGTTTCGTTTCAGGAGCATATCTCATAAACCATTCACAATTTCTTCATGAAACTTTGCATACACATCATGCAGCACTGCAATGGTGCCTTTTGCTATTTAGGATTATTTTATTTTTTTGATTATTTTTGTTTACGGGACAACAATTTGGACTGCGGTTCAGATCAGGGTAGGTTTGTTTGTTTGTTGTTTAACGCCACACTCAGCAATATTCGAGCTATGATGGCAGTCTGTATATACTCGAATCTGGACCAGACAATCCAGTGATTGGCATCATGAGCATCGATCTACGCAAGATACTATGACATACATCACCCAAGTCAAACTGTAAAGGGGAGTAATTCATTGTATTTCCACATGTCTGATATCACTTGGTCTTGGAAGAGGCTTCCCACAGAGAGATCACTGGGTCGAGGGTAGTTTGCCTGAATTAAAGGTCCAGATTTTGCTAGCAGAGAAAGTGACTCGCCACTAAGAGCTGTATCTTTCACACATGGATGGCATGTATTGAGGGCTGACTGTAAGAGGACAGCTCAGAGTGATGTCGTCTGCTTGGGTAGTAGCTGTAACGTTAAAATCCAATTATGGCACCCTGCATGTAGCATCAGGACAAAGTCAGTGGTTTATTTGATGGAGGTAAGTACACAGATAACATGTATTTTGATTGGCCCGGGGCCAAGCTAGTTTATCTTCTGTCACATTCTGTTGGAACTTCTACTATATTCCAAGTAGGTTTCCTGTTGTAAAGTACTGCGCGGTACGCCAGTTGAAAGACTTCTAGGCTTGAGAGAATCTACAGTTATTCCAACATAAGTAAATGATTGGTAGTTTGTGTTAACAGGGTCAAAGAAGTCAATGCTGTGTCAGACAAAGCGCAGATGTCCATATAATTTTCCTCCAAATACTTGTTCTCATGGCTATATCCTGAAACCTTGCTCATCTCACATCACACAGGGGCCACGGTAGTCCAGTTGTGTAAAGTACCACGTTACACTGTGGACAGACCTGTTCCTTAGTTTGAATTCCAGACTTGTCAGCACCTGTGCTCATTGGTCTCACCGAGTTTGTTTGTTTTTGAACGCCGCACTTGGCAATATTCCAGCTATATGAAGGCGGTCTGTGAACTGTAAAGTCTAGACCAGACAATCCACTGATTGATGTTATGAGCATCGATTTCCGCAAATGGAATACGATGCATGTCCAACCAAGTCAGTGAGTCAGCGAGCGTGGCCACCCGATCCCGTTAGTCACCACGCACGACAAGCAGGTTTTGTAACCCGGATCTCCACAGGTTCACACAGTTTTAAGCATGTCTACATGCTATTTACAAACTTTTGATGTTTAAAATCTCTTTAAGGATGAGTAAAAAAGGGCGAAACTAGTGTTTACACCCTCCAATTCGCTGCCTTTTCCCTGGCTATGAATCAGTATGCAGCAATGAAGAATAATAAAGCCTGAACAAGTATTTCATCGTTGGTCATATATAGAATTTAGAAAAATAGTGCCATTGCACTGAAGCTCATCTGGGTATGTAGACAACACAAATTAAAGCTAGAAGTATTGCAATAGACGTATAGAAGATTTGTTCAAAACCTATACCATTACACCCGACACAGAATAATGGACACAAGTTGGTCTTTTTTCAAAATGGCCTCTGTTAGGTCTATATTGAAATTACTCTTGAGGTGTCATCATTTGTAGGAAAAAGCTTGTAATGATTCAGCTTCATTGGACGAGTGTTTTGAGGGGAAGATGTTTACGTGGACGCTGGACGTACAGGCCTCTACATCGGTCCACTTGACACAGATGGGACACATGGACGAGGTTAACTCGAAATGATGGCTTTAAAGTAAGTTTGGTTACACTAAGCACTGCGATGATGAAACCTGCTGTCTTCTGAGTTATTACACCCCCACACACATAGATTCCCCCACCCCTTTCTCCACTGCACAGTACCATGGGTCCACCAGCTGAACGTTAATACAAGTATGAATGGTAGCAAAACGACTATGGAAACACTCTTTAGCTTTTGCAGCCACTCTGATTGGGGATTTCATCAAGCCCATCATCCTCTGCGTCATCTAAATCAGACACAGGAAAAGGTTGGCGCCTTATGAATTGGGTTTAACGTCGCGTCAAAGATTATTGCACTTATATAGCGACGTGCATGCACGTGTGTATGGCTGCTTGTACTAGTCCGGACTGATGCCGATTTTAAAGTGCTAGCCCACTGGGATACCATGCCGCAGTTTAACATGAATACCACACTCAGACACAGTATACCGACTATGAACTCAGATACATGAACACCTCATGTATGTTAGACATAATAATTACAGTTTAAAAGATAATGAGAGAAATAATTATTACATCTGATGAAACGAATGAGGTAGTTTCGAAGCAGAAACAGTTTCTTGAAATGCAAATGAAATTTTCTATTTCATAATATTTACATCGATCTGACATGGATATAACAAGTATGCATGGACAGTTCTTGTCCTGATATGACGATATTAGTTTTCGATATTGAGTGAGTGAGTTGGGTTAGACGTCACTGAAACAGTATTTCAGGGATATGTCTGCTTTATGTGAGAGGAAAGTCATGATGCACGTCTCAGACGCTCATTACTTTGGTTAAGCAAACAAGCGCGGGTATGGTGCTGAAACAAAACAATCCATGACAGGGCGACCCAAACTTGATGAAGTGAATCCTATACCATACATATTTGCTGTTTACTTGGACATAATTTCAGCAACCCATGCCTACCGTAAAAAGCGACTATGCTTGTCGTCAGAAGCTAACAGGATAGGGTGGTCAGGCTCGCTGACTTGGTTGATGCATGCCATCGCATCCCAATTGTGTTGATCGATGCTCTTGATGTCAATCTCTGCATTGTCTGGTCCAGACTGGATTATTTACAGACAGCCGTCACATAGCTGGAATACTGCCGAGTGCGGCGTTAAACAACAAACAAACTTGTTGTATGCTCCTTCTGTGTGATTGTTTCGCATCTGTGTTAAGATTCCCGGCAGGCAGGCATTGAAGTTAAATATAACATCTTCCCAAGGCAATGGAGTTAACTTACCATAATAGTCCAGTTTCCACCCTTGCCGAACGAGGCTGGAATAATGGTGTTACATTTTGGCTGGCCAAACTAGTCTATGTGTACAGTCCAGTCAAAATCACCTAACTAAATCAACATCCGATTCGTAAACCGCCGTGCAGATATCGGTCGATTGCAGGATATGCAAAACATGTGTACTGCCTACTTAGCGTCAACAGACATGTTGCAAATCTGTTCATGCTTTAATCAAGGTACACACCTGATCTGATGCACTTAGTGAAGTAAGACCCGTCTTATTACAATATATATCAGATTCTTGATTACCGATCAAATCGTCTTCATTGGGCGCCGCCATCTTGTTTAAAGCAAATACAAGTCATATGAGAGGTGGAATCTGATCGGTCAATAGGAGGGACGTAGACGGGACATAACTCGTAATAGCCACTCATGACGCTGCGATCGAGCCCCGAAATTCCAGCTTAGTCCGGTAAGGATGGATGCTGGACTTTTACAGTCAGTTAACTGCCTTGCCTCGGGAAGATGAACATAATGATACACCATATTAACAATATATTACCCCCGTGGGTGTATAACTATCTACTTTTGTTTCAATATCAAGTACAGACACATTCTTGGAAAACTTGGAAGTCCATAATTCCGCTAAAGAAATGTAATCGTGTGAGAAAAACGTCAGATATTTCCGTCATTACTGTGTTACTTAGCCAATGTTCACTTGTGACTGAAGTGGCGTAACAAGGTGAAAAACTCAACACCGGCGATCAAACATGACATACGTCTTACTGGAGAGAGAGTCTTTATTTATCAGACGCTGGTAGTCTCTGCGTGCATGTGTGCGTGCATGCTTTACCCCCGCGAATGAGAATGATACTGTATAATAAAGTGTATTCTATATAATTGTGTTCTTGTATTAATTATAATATAGTGCCGTTAACGAGGGTGTCAACCCCCTCCTCTCATGAATCACAAATAGCATCTAATGTTTCACTCTGAGGTCTCATTGCTCACCTGTGAATCCCGAATACTATCTAACACAAACCTCAAAGCATTGAGAAAAGGGGTGTGATTTGAGGTAAAATTCTTGAAACAAGTTTCGAAAATATAAAATATATGAAGAAAATATTTACATACTCCACATTCTTGTTGTATTCCCTTCATGCCGACCTTCCGCTCTCGGGACAGATATGCTCTACCACCAGACCACGGAAACGGTCGCAAGCTCACTTGAATCTTCGGTCCTTGTAAGCAAAAAGTATGTATTGACGATATCTATAACATGAAGACAATTACTTCAAATACTGCTGTTTGAGACTTCAAGCTCTAACAAGAACCAGGACATCAAGAGCAAATAAGAATCTGGTGGGTGGTTACAATGTTTGAACTTGCTGATTATGTGGCATGGTACCTGAGGATGCGGATTCCTGTTCATGCTATTAAACGCCCGTCAGTCAAATCCATGGCCAGATTTGATTACACGAATGCCACTGTCCAATATGAGGAACACTGATGGCTAGCAAAAGACAACAGACTCTCACAGTCACTTGGTAAAAACTGCAGAAGCCAATGATTGGTCCTCCCACCTTAACTGGCTTTACATCTCTTCTTAAAATTCATCAATGTGTACCAATCACATGATTGGGAAAAGAAAAACAAGGAGGAAATATGTTATTATTTAATTAGACAAAGGATAAAGCATATATAGAAAATCAATAAGCCATGACATTTTTTTCGACATCAGATGCCAATGCTGACAGCGCCGCTGTAGTTAACTGTCATAATCATGTGTAAACCGATCACAAACAATCTTCTTCAATGTACAATGATCATTGACATGAGCTGCTT